TATATATATATATATATATATATACACACACACATACAGTCAAACTTCAATCATTTGGATAGGAGGAGGTCCCATAATTCTAAGACGAACAATATGTCTGAATATATATATATATATATATATATATATATATTTTTTTTTTATTGGTCACAAAATTTTGTATCCATATTATATACAAATTTCTTTCCATGTTATTACACCATATTGAGAATTCGATTCAACTTTTGGGAATATATTCTACCAATAATCTTGACTGTAAACTGAGAACACAACTACTCTACAAGATAAGAGAGACAACTGATAACTGGACAACTCTTCTCACCTCAGACCTTACCAGATGAAAAACTATTTCTAAAGAAGCAGATGACAATTGTCGAACCTTCAACAAATTAATCACGTCCCTCTCAACATAGAGCTCTTTTGGACAAAGTTGTTTCATGCTTTACTTCCACTACACAAGATAAAGTGTGAAAGATTTTAAAACAAAGTAAATTTATGATTTCTTAAACAATGACCACATTACAGAATACGGCAAATGAGCAATAAAAGTCTCTTTCTTCATTACCTTAAAGGAAAGTGAAAAAAAAACATTTATCAAAGTATTGTCTCAATATCCTGGAACATTCAAATTAAAACCCTAGCTGGTGTAATTAACAAAATCTCTTTATGGCATGTCAGAGCTCGAAATATGTGCATCTACTCCATACAGTGTAGAATATTCTACATTCTAAGAAGTGTTGTCTCATGAACAACTGATATACAATAGTGTTTCAACTAAATTAAAATAAATGAAGAACTTGTAACATAAAAATTAAAGTTTTGTTTATGGATTAGACAAATAATGTTTTTAGTTTTCAAAAAAAGATATTACTTGTTTTATCCATATACAAGACTTTATTTTTTTCAACTAAATTTGTAACACAGCTCACCTGATGAACACCTGTGTTCTACAAAATGCCTCATAAGTAGAGGCGAAAAACACAAACTGAAACAGAAACCCATACAAGGCCATAAAGAATGTTGTGATTAATGTTATTCTCAGTCTCAGTGGTATGAATCTGTTTCCACTTTCTCCTTCTTCTACTGTTTACAGAAAAACAATGAACATGTACTTATCAGCTGTTCTGTATTATTTTCAGGTTCCGGTGGTAAGTTGACAGAAAAATATGTTTTCTTATGAAAATCTGGTTTCTAAGAGCTATAAACACTTTTTCTGTAGCTCGTATCTATCATTTCAATGGAGTTCACATTAAATTCTGTCACCTCTTGATAATCATTTCTAGCACATCCTTCGGTTGAACCAGCCTAGTACTTCCAACTATCACCTGTTATATTAAAATAAAGAAACAGTAAATGCTTCAATAATCACAAAAAAAAAACTGTGCATTCCTAATCAAGTACCAAGATCAGCCCAACTCTAACAATGTTGTACTGGCAAAACACAGAATTACTAAGGAATAAATTAATATTCAAAACTATATTAATTGTTTGTATCAACTTATCATTTGGCAGATTACTGTTTTATACAAATAATTTGTTCGCAATTACATTTGGCCAAGAACTTCAGAATTATTATAAAACTAACTGCAGCTTGCAAAACAGTCACTGTAGTTTTCATGCCCTTCACTTGAATTTTCCTTATTCTATCACTTTAACACACCCCATTTAAGCTATGCTTTCTTGCAGGAATTATGTGCTCAATCGATAAATTCTGATCTATTTGAAACTCACATAGACATAACCTTATTTAATAAAACTACACATAAAGTATAGTAATGGCATATATAATAGTGTACAGAGTATGAAACAGTTATGAGCGTTCATAAAACGAAGAATAAAACCCGTAGTAAAGAAAAAAGCTAAAAGGTGTTTATAGCAGTTTATAAAATGAGCAGAAGCTAAATTATTGCAAACTAAAGTAAATGTAAAGTTGTAATGAAGGCAAAATTAGCTGAATATGCAGAAACATCTCAGTGTACATTCACAAATTGATAAGCAAATGGTTTTAAACAAAAAAAAAACTTAGATAAGTCAAGAAAGCCCATACAAATTGTATTTAGTGTAATATTCATTTTTCTTTTTTAAAAAAATAGACATGCGATACATGTTGTTTGTGTGAAATACTTTGCAAATGAAAAAACTAAAGTTGAAATCAAAGCCAGTTGTCACCAGATGACAATGACATTGTATCACCATGTAGCTTACTTATTGTATTAAAAAGTTTGACTATGAAAAATCAAGTAAGCTGAGTCTTAATGGAAAAGCCAATATGCAATCTGGACTCCTCAGATAAAGGCCATACTAATAATATGAGATTTATTGCATTTGATCAAGAAATTTGTGAAAAACATTCCAGATAGACAAATGCAAATGTATTATTTATACAGACATGAAAGTTAACCTAAAAATTATGGTCCAATATTTTTTTTAAACTGCTCGTTAATCATACTAAGCCTAAAAATTATGGTCCAATCTTATTGATATTGCTTGTTAATCATTCTAAGCCTAAAAATTATAGTCCAATCTTATTCACACTGCTTGCTAATCATTCTGCTTCAACAGTATCCTTAAACATTTCCTTTGCTTTAGTATCAAATAAAACTGTTCACTGCAAGCAACAATACTAACTAGTTACAGATAGTTACAGCAGTAATTTTATAATATTTGGACAGAGAATGGTACTTATTTAACTAGTTAGATAGTTACAGCAGTAATTTTATCATGTTTGGGCTGAAGATGGTTTCTTTTTAACTAGTTAGATAGTTACAACAGTAATTTTATAATATTTGAACAGAGAATGGTACTTATTTAACTATTTACAAATAGTTACAGCAGTAATTTTATCATGTTTGAACAGAAGATGGTACTTCTTCGAGTTTAGAAATAGTTCACAAATCTCATATCAAATATTTCATAAAATAACAAAAAATATTAATCTACAGATACACTAATACAGGTAGAGAAAGAGCTTTTAAAAGTGAGGTAAAATTACCATCAACAACCTTGTAAGATTCAGAAGGTAGCCAAATAAAACCATCTAGTGACGAATAATTAACCTAACTCACCCGTATCCATTTCTTCAAAAGAGATTAAAATAAAATGTAATACCTACACATTAATTTGATTCATTAAAAACAAAACCCAAAACGACATCTTGTTAAATACATTACACTTATTCTTAAACGTGGGACTAAGGAAAATGAACATAGAATAACTTAAGTTTGTTTTCTCATATATATACTTACTTCAGTAGAAGGTCTAGAAATACATTACACTTATTCTTAAACGTAGGACTAAGGAAAATGAACATAGAATAACTTAAGTTTGTTTTCTCATATATATATACTTACTTCAGTAGAAGGTCTAGAGTTTGCTACAATTTCTTTGATTTGTCGGACCTCAGTGGCTGTGACTCCTCCAATCACAAAGACAATTAAAACAGGATGATCTCGAGGTTGGTGCTTAGATACATTCATAAATAAGCTGATAACAAAAAAAATCAAAGGTGTTCAAAAAAACTGTAATACTATCTTCCCATCAAATAAATGCCTATAATTATAAATGTATTTCAAAAATTCTTCTTCATTTCTTTTTATCTGTCTGAAACTGCTGACAATTAAGTCAATGAAGAACTAAATTTTGTACAATTGAAACAGAACAACTATTTTTAATAAAAACAAAGTAAAAAAGGGTTTATGTTAAAAAAATATACATATATTTGATTCTTTTTAGGGCAATAATTGGGTATCAATTACTGTCTCAAAGATGGTAAAAATGCTTCTTTTTTTTTTAAAAAAAAAGGTGAAACAAATTCGTCCCATTCTTCTAAAAATATATCAGATTGATTTCTACAGTGATCTTTTGTGTAATTTAAGGAAAGCCAAAACCAGTATCTATAAAGTCAAGTTCTTTTTGTCTTTTCACTCTTCTAGATTTAACTTACTTTGTTTTCTGATTAGCTTTATGACTGTTTAATCTCACATTTTGTTTACTGACAAGCCTTTTCTGAGCTGAGTTGTAACTCATGATGTGTTGAAATAATAAAATATGATCTAATGACATAAAACACAAAAGTAGCAACAAGTTTTAAACTGTAAACTGCTTAATTACTATTTACACATGAATGAATTTCATAATACTTCAAAACAAAGCACCTTTAAACAGGGTCTACAGATAGTTAGGAATAGCAACTTAGTAGTTTCTCTGATAGTTTCTTCATTATATTAACTCTTTGACAAGACTTACACACAGATGGATACCACAACACAATCTCGTTTACAAAATATGAAGAATTTTTTTAATATTGTAACTCTAGATTTCTATCACAAAAACTGCATGTTAGCAATTTAAATTGTAACACCTGGCTTTTGATATGTAACAATGTTAATTGTAACACTTGGCTTTTGATGTCTATAAATGTTAAATTGTAATACTTGGCTTTTGATATGTAACAATGTTAAATTGTAATACTTGGCTTTTGATATGTAACAATGTTAAATTGTAATACTTGGCTTTTGATATCTAACAATGTTAAATTGTAATACTTGGCTTTTGATATGTAACAATGTTAAATTGTAATACTTGGCTTTTGATATGTAACAATGTAAATTGTAACACTTGGCTTTTGATATCTAACAATGTTAATTTGTAACACTTGGCTTTTGATATCTAACAATGTTAAATTGTAATACTTGGCTTTTGATATCAAGTTTATTTCTGTAATTTTGAAAAAAACAAAGAGAAAAGGGAAGATATATAGATGAAGAAATCTAAAACCTTTTAAATTTTATTGCTGATGAAAATTCCAAATTATACAGTTAGTTATTTAAAAGAAAGATTAGAAGGAGGATTACAAATCATCTGAGAGAATCTTAACACAATATCACGTGTAGCAGTTATAGAACAACAACAAAAAACTCTCAGAAGTCTCGATATTGGAGATATTTAAACACATTCGTGTGTCCTCTTCAGTCTCCTGTTTGTTTCGTTTACCTTTTTGTTTTTGGTGTTGTTGTTCTCATCTGGGAAATTTAAAAGAACAAAATTCACCCATTTTGAAGATTCGTGACCATGAGAACTGGTACAATTTCCTCTCCCTTGTCGAAGTATGTGTTGATGATAATGTATTTACATGCATGGGACAATATTACAGACAGAAAAATAGAATGGCTATGGGAAACCCTTTATCCCCAATTTTATGTAACATCTTCATGGAGTATTTTGAAAGTGAATTACTTCCTACAGCAGATCTGAATTCAAAGAAAACCCCTCTGTTCTGATACGTTGACGACATATTTTTGGTTTGGCCAAATAATAGAAATTATTTTCAAGTCTTTTTCCAGAGGATAAACAAACTTCACAGTACTGTCAAGTTTAAAATGGAATGGGAAACAAATAAGTCACTCCCATTTTTAGACATTCTCATAACTAGAGAAACAACAGGGCTTGTCCTCTCAATCTATAGAAAACTAACAAACCCCTTAAGCTATATTCACTTTTTCTCGTATCACCATTATGACTTCCATGTTTCTAAGAGCCTTCAGAATATGTCATCATACAACTCTTGATGAAGAAATCAAAAACATTTATACAGTCTTCAACTGGCTACAGTATCCTATGAGCTTTATCAAAAATGACCGTCATAAGGTAAGAAAGACATTTTATAGAAACAATAGCTAGCAAACAGCATCATCTACATATGAAAATAAGAAGAAACTACTCAGCGTCAACTACAGTTCTAATATTGTGGCTATAGAGAAATGTTTCAAAAACAACAATTTCAAAGCTGTTTATAAATGTCACAACACCACTAAAAACTTCCTACCCTCGAATACTTCAGCATCTCCAAATAAAGAATAAGGAGTCTATTTAGTCCCGTCAGTCTTGTGACTACATTTATGTGGGTGAAACGGGTAGAAATTTAGATACAAGGCTTGCAGAACATAAAAGGGATGTTAAAAATGGTCAAACAAATAATGCTATATGAGAAATATTGATCATATAATTAACTGGAAGTCAGCCAAAAGGATACATAAAACTTGAAATTGTGTCAAAAGAAGAATTGTAGAAAGCTCGTTACTTCAAAAATTGCCCAAACATCAACATTTGAGAAGGTCACTATAAACTGAACCCCTTACTGATGTCATATGCCCAATAGGGACTTGGAATGACCACTAGAAAATAAACTGTATGTGTTTCTCTCACAAAGAAAAGTTGGACTGAAGAGGACACATGAAAGTGTTGAAACTTGTTTCCATATAAACTTCTTGTTCTGACAAAAGGGGAGGTAATCTTCATTTTATATTACTCTACATGGTATTGTGTATTTACTTGCTATCAAAATGTACTTAAAAGCTTGAATATATTTCGTTTGATACTTCTGTTGTATTTTAATAATTCTGCCGTTAACTTGAATCCTGATTATAACATGCAAACCAAACCCCTTGATAAACAACTCAACATCAGAAGTAACTCACATGAATTTTAATTTCAACATCAATCAAACCCCTTGATAGCAACTCAACATCATGGAGTAACTCACTTGAATCCTGATTTTAATGTCAATCAAACCCCTGGATAACAACTCAACATCAGGGAGTAACTCACTTGAATCCTGATTTTAATGTCGATCAAACCCCTGGATAACAACTCAACATCAGGGAGTAACTCACCTGAATCCTGATGTTAACATGTCAGTCAAACCCCTTGATAACAGCTTAACATCAGGGAGTAACTCACCTGAATCCTGATTTTAACATGTCTATCAAACCCCTTGATAACAACTTAACATCAGGGAGTAACTCACCTGAATCCTGATTTTAACATGTCAGTCAAACCCCTTGATAACAGCTTAACATCAGGGTGTAACTCACCTGAATCCTGATTTTAACATGTCAGTCAAACCTCTGGATATCAACTCAACATCAGGAAGTTCAGGAACTGAAGGGTTGAAAACATCATCAATTAACTGTCTTAGTAGTGGAATATAAACTGCTGCTTCCAGCTCTCCTGCCTTGTGCAAAACAGACCTGAATATTGTTGAAAATTGGAACTAAGCCTTCTCACAATGCATCACAATCTTGAATCAAAAATGACTGAAATGGTTTTCTTACCACATGAAACACAGATTAGATTAATAAATTTGGAGAATTACAGCACTTAATGTTTTCCCATTTTATGTGATAAAGACATAACTAAAGTACATAATATAAAAATATCAAAACTTCTTATGTAACATGAATATTTTCGCAAAATAGAAACATTGCTCCCAAAATTTCTTAAACAGTTGCCTCATAT